GTAATGCTTCTGGGCAAAAGAAGGCACATAATATTAAGCCCTGAAAGACTGTATTCAGGCAAGCAGTGGTGCAGAAAAGAGCCTGAGCATTGTGGATTGCTTATCATGAGCATCTTAATATGAATTTCTGGTACGCTGCACTGTTCAAAGAGGTGAATGTCGATAAATTAATATGACAACATGCAGGAGAAAAGAGGGAGATGGTCTGGCTCTTTATATATACCCCAGTGCACTTGTGCACAGGTGGGAGGTCAAAGGAAGGAAGCAAAAATAATCACAGGATTAAAAACAAACAGAGAGACCAACAACTGCCTGGGTTTAGGAGCTTTGTTTTTCCATTTAACGCCACAGAGGTTGAGAGTTGTCATGTCTATGTAAAAATACCTATCTATAGATAGACACATACTGCATATGCAAATATATATATATACAGGTGTAAAAGAGATCTGGTGGCTTAGCAGGAACCAACAGGGTATCAGGCAGATTCAACCTTGAGATCACAAACAGTGCTGTAGCTAAATTAGTAGTGAAACTTTAGGAAAAGAGAGCTGGTGGAACAGTTTATAATCTTTTAAGATAAAATTAGATACTACATTTTGTAAGATGTTCTTTAGTCAAACTTCTGGGAACAATTCAGCGGGTTTTATAGAGAGATTATACTGGGTGACTGCAGTAGTTGCTTCAGGCTCTAGAATATGTAAATCTGTAAATGATAATGAAAAACTCCACATATGCAGATATGTTTCAGAAGGACAAGTGCAGTGTCTTTTCTGGGGACCAGTGTTGTCTCCAGGTTAGATGGCTTCATGTTATGACTTAATTACATTTTATTGCTTCTCTATGTTATTATTATGCACAGCAGTTTAAACATTGTGAGCAGAGATACTGGGTTTCAATTTTATATGTACATGGGGTTTATTTGGATGATTCCACATAGTTTTAATTGAAGAACAGGTGTTCCCTGTAAGCTAAATGGGTATCCACTTACCCTGCTTTTATATAGAGAATACATTAAACTTTGCAGTGTGTGTGTTTGTTTTCATTTCAGCTTTCATTCAGGAAGACTATTACTGATAAAAATCTTTGTTTCAAACAGCTCAGAGTAGAAGTGCTCAGCTGCAATTCAATTTGTGAAGTGTTTCTGTTACAGTGTTGTCACTTTTATAGCACTCCAGTGAGGGGCAAGGAGAGGACTTCTCAAAACATGAATTTTGACTTCAGACTTGAGCCTCTTATTGCCATCTTTTCTAAAAGTTATTTTTAATATAAATGTGGTGATAAATATATCTTGAAGTTTGATGCTTTTACCTTTATATTCCTAATTTTGTGGTTGTGTATTGCCAGGTAGCAGCCATCAGATTTGTTCAGAAATTGCAGCTCACTCTCTGGGAGGTTACAGAGCAGCCTTCCCTGCCTTGTTTGTTTTAAACAAATTGACATTGACTTGTAATTACCTGGGAGAGTTTTTGTCTTGTGTCTGGCTGGAGTTAGGTGTTAGATCAGATCTTAAGAAGAAATTCTTTATTAAGAGGGCAAGTGAAGCACTGGCACAGGTTGCCCAGAGAAGTTGTGATTGCCCGTCCCTGGAAGTGTTCAAAGCCAGCCTGGATGGGGTTTGGAGCAGCCTGGTCTAGTGGGTGGCATCCCTGCCCATGGCAGGGGGGTGGAAGATGTCCTTAAAGGTCCCTTCCAACCCAAACCACTCCATGATTCTGTGACTTGTACCTCATTGACACAGAGCTCAGAGGTTTCTGTGCATCTCCAGTCTGGAAATCTGTCATTTCAGCATTTCCACTTTGGTCTGGTTTTTGATTCAGTGCCAGTGGATAGATTGAACTGCTTGTTAGGTTGGTTTCTGGCACTTGGGTGTTGAGATTCTGTGTGGTGGAGGAGCTCTGGTGGACTTTGCACACCTGGTTTGGTGTGTGCTTCTGAAAGGTACAGCCATGGAGAAAGAGGGTGCAGGTGTTTTTGAGGACAGAGAGGGCACATCTGTCTTGATAGGACTTTCTAGAATATTGGAGTTCTGGTTTGCCTTCCAAAAGGATCATCTGGGCTTGGAGGCGTTCCTAATCGGCGGCAGACGGAAGTCACTATTGATCCATGGTCATTTGTGCTGGCTTTGGGACAGGATCCCCTGGGGACTGTGTCTGCAGGCTGGCAGGGATGTCCTCTGCCTTGATGATCCAAGCAAGGTCAGGAGAGAAATGGTTCAGCCATCCAGCTGAAGGAATTTTGGCATGCTGCTTGGGCCCAGGGATCAATTCTAAATAGCTGCCTTATGCCTATCTGAGGAAAAGTCTTTCCAGATCTGATGTTCCTGTGTTGTGTGGTGGCTGTCAGGGTCTCCAAAGTACAGCTGGGCAGTTCATGCATGGAAGGACTTGTTGTCTTCAGCTCCCCCTTAGAGGCTTATAAACATTAACCACCCAGAGGCTACTGATTCAGATAAGCTGCTATAAATTGACACTGCATGTAAATGAGCTATCGTGCTGTGTTGTGGTGATTAATGTAACTGTAATGGCACACATTATCTCCTAAAGTTATGATAACCTGGGGAAATCACTTAAAGATAACCTGTTCTGTCTGTTCTCCTCAGGAGGATATCTGCATTTTGGCTCCACATAGCTTATCTTTGCTCCTAACGCAAACTAGAAAATTAAAGAGAGCAAACTGCATGCTAGGACCATATTCTAGCCTGCATTGCATTTACTCCTGCATGTTAATTTTCTTATGCAAAAAAACCTGCTTTTGGGTTGCCTTGAGACTGGCATTTTTTAATAGGCACTCTCCAGAGATCATACTAATTTTGTCCCAAGCTCAAGATCCAGGTGTCTGTGCTGGAGCTCAGCTAATTGTTGCTGAACCTCTCATACTTCTGTCGTGGTGGTAAGGCCCTGGCACTAACTTCTTGAGGCTTGGTTTGACTTCATTTGAGTCTTACAGGAATTTGTCTTTGTTTAGTTCTTCATTCTGAAAGTATGTACTTTCCCTTGCAGGCTTTACTTGTGCCATAAATTCAGTATTTGTTCCAGTTTCTAAACAAAACAGCTGATGAGTGATCTGTAGGTACAAGTTTTAATAATACATGTAGAGTTAAATTTGCAGGAAATTTTCTTTCTTGTTTCAAATGCAATTTAAAGCAGAAAAGGGGGGAAAAAAAGCTGCCTTTGATTTTCTTAGTTTCTTATTTTGATCCAAATCCTGAGAGAGCTGGGATTTTTGACTGTGAAGCATTACCAAAAAATGCTTGAGTAAGTATTTTAGAATCCCAAATCTTTGGATTCAAGGTACATTTCCCACTTTTTACTTGGGAATCCTTTGGGCTGTCTGTTCTACCATAGAAACTCTGTCTTGCTAATTGTGATCACTCCTCCTCTCCCTGTGTTTTCATATCAGGGATAGTAGAAGGAGGAGCTGAGGAATCCTTGAGGAAAGACAAACTGTAACATGTATGTATTCCTGGAATAGTTATTTGACCTCTCATGAGATTAGAAATGTCTCTTCATGAAGGGGCTCTCGAGAGAAGTGAATGAGCTGGAGAAGAGGCAGGAGAAGGGAGGAGAAGATCTTTTCCTGGTGAGTGCTGGCAGTCGCTCTGTGCTTGGCACAGGGCAGGAGGAGCTCATGCCCATCTGCAGGAAGTGCCGAGCCTCTCCAGGCTGAAAGCAGCGCTGAGCTTTACAGAGAGGGGCTCCTGTGGAGCCTGCAGGACTGGAACTGCAGTGGCACACACCCTCTTGTGGCAGGAAGGGACAAGTCCCAGCACAAACCAGCGTGGCCTCTTGGTTTCTGTGCTCCCTGGTTTGCCTTGCTCACTCTTTGGTGTTCAGTGAGCATCCCTCACTCGGGTGCACCACCTGTGCTTTCCTGTACTTGCCTCTTTCATCTTCCTGTTCTTGCACTGCCTGAATCTGTTCTGTCTTGCAAATTCTAAAACTTCACCCTATTTAAATCTGGTTTTATCAGTATTTGGATAGTATTTAAACTGGGCTTTAAAGTGCCCTTACTTACTTAGTTGCCAACATACTGAAAATACTCCTTACGGACTAAAACATTTACAGGAATAAAAAGGCTGGAAAAATAACCAAGGGTGCTGAAGAACATACTAGTTTTGTGTCTTAAATAGCTTAGTTTGTCTGAACTGCTATGAAGGGGTCATGTATAGATTAGGGGATAACATGCTGCTTTTCCCAGCGGTTTGATTAACCAGCTTAGGACTGGGTCAGATGCGCAGGAGCAGAGCAGGGAAGGCTCATCATCACCTTGCAAGTGCAGAGGGGCCCTCCAGCATGTTTGCAGTTATCAGATTTGCTGCATAATAAGCTGTACGCTCCATTCAGCACTCTAATTAACCCAGGAAAGCTCTCTGGCTCAGTCTGTGCTGATAGCATGAACCTCACAAAGCCAGGCAGTCTCACCAAAGTACCTCTAAATAAGATTAAGCAAAGCGAGCCAGCCATGAAATAAAATGTAGGCTAAGTGTCAAGCAAATACTCTTATTTGCTTTCATTTAGTACCAAGTTCTGCACTTGGCATGAGGTGTCCAAGCATTTAATGTGTGAGTAGCACTGGCAACTCCTAGCAAGTGCTGACAGATGAGACCTTAATCATTAATGTTTCTCTGTAGAGACAAAAATAACCAAATGCTGTGTGACAACGCTTACAAACACGAGTTGATGGTATTTCCTACAACTCCTAAGCAGTCCTGGCTCCCACTGATCCCATCAGGATTGGGAATTACATGTTGGTGGAACATGGTGGCAGACTGGGTAATGCTGGGATGTCAGAGGAAAGGAGAAAAGCCAAGGCTGGTGGCAGGTTTGTAAAGTGACAGGTTCCTTAGTTAGCCCTGTGCTGCTGCTAAAGATCCTTGTCAGACAGCAGGAAAAAGAAACAGTGTGAGTGATGGAGGATGGAGCAGGTACAGACATACAGGGTCCTGAAATCTATGACCTGTTTGCAGAATGGATCTCATCCTCCTTTCTCTGCCTTTTCAGGTATCTTGCAATATCTTCAGAACTCTCCCACCTAGTGACAGCAATGAATTTGATCCAGAAGAAGATGAGCCCACCTTGGAGGCATCGTGGCCGCACTTACAGGTTTTTGATTATTTACCTCAGAAGAAATTCTTGTCATTGCTTGATGTATCTAATAATTTATCTAATAATTTTCTCAGCTTTTTTTTTTAACCTGTGAATCAGAACTATTCTGTGAGACACCAACATGTATTAATACTGTTTATGATTCTAATATAGTACCTAAAGAGAAGGGAGAGAACTTTGTGATATTTCTAAAACGTTAAAGCTTTCTTTCAAAATGATATTGATGGTGTCCCTCATATTCCCGTTTTCCTTCACTGATTTAAAAATTATTTTGCTTTCCCAACTGCTTTGATGCACAAGTATTTTTCAACAACTGCAGCAAGAGCATTGTGAGGATGACACTGCTGGCAGTTTTGCTTTATTGAGGGTGGTTAATATTCATAGGAGAGTGCACAGGTGTTGGCAGCTGATCAGAAAAATGAATGAGAAGCTGCATCCCTATCTAAGTCCTCCTTCCTCTCCTCAAGGTTTGCTCCCAGGTGTTTGGAGCAGGATTCCAGCTCACTCAGTAGCATCCCTTCCTCTGAATTTCAGTTGTCAAAACAAGGGATTTTGAGACCCCCATGTGGAATAACACTCTATCCAGCTCTGGGGTTAATAGCACAAGAAAACTGTAGACCTGTTGGACTGGGTCCAGCGAGCAGGGTGCAAAGATGATCGGAGGGCTGGAGCACCTGTCCTGTGAGCACAGGCTGAGAGAGCAGGGATTGTTCATTCTGGAGAAGAGAAGGCTCCAGGGAAACCCCATTGCAGCCTTCCTGTACTTGAAAGGGAGATTGTAAAAAAACAAGGGAGAGAGTGGCTTTTTACATGGTCAGATGGTGACAGGACAATGAGAGATTCAGATTGCACTTTCTTAAGAAGCTCTTGAGTTGTGAGGGTGTGAGGCCTGCCACAGAGGTTGCCAGAGAAGCTGTGGCTGCTCCATCTCTGGGAGTGTTGAAGGCCAGGTTGGATAAGCAGCCTGGTCTTGGGAGTGCTGTCCCTGCCCATGGCAGGGAGGGTGAAATGAGGTGATCTTTAATGCCCTTTCCAACCCAAACCATTCCATCATTCTGCAATTTTCAGTGAAGAACATAAACTAAACTGGAGAAAATATCCTTGATACTAATGCAGTAAATTCCTTTATAGAAAATCTAGATGAAGATGCTGTGTGTGTTAGTCAGGATAATGACTCACACCACTGGTAAATTTACAGGAAGTTTGCTTGAGTAACAATTTGTGGAGCTTTGGGAGTTTTTGTGAGCAAAGGAGCAGAATTGATCTCAGCCTGAAATGAGGATTCTATTTTACAGTTGCATGCACAATCCTGTGAGGGTTTTTTTTTTTTCACTCTTTTGTGCTCTCTAATTCAGAATCTCTTGAAATGTAGGTTCATCCCTCATTTATATTTAAATTTCACAAAAAATAAGAATCTTCAAAACTTCAAGGCAGCTCTGAGGAGCTGTGCCTGCCTGGAAACAGCACATTCAGTGACACTGGTGCTGTAGTTCAAAAAGTCATTACTTGCATGGAAATGAGGGAATTTCTTATCCAGTGGATGACTTAGCATTGTCAAGAAGAAATTCACCAAAGTATTTGTGAAAAGTCAATGGAATTGATTTCCTGATGATTTAATGTTGGTGTTATGTAAGCTGTCACTTTTCCCACAACTTACTTCTCAACCTCACTCCTGCTTTTTGATTTCCTATTGCTTCCTTTGAGAAGTCAGAGAACAGTGTTATAAAGTACCAGCAGCAGTTTTGCAGCATATTTCTGTCATGGAAAAATTTAAAATGATTTTCAAATGTACTTTTTAAGCTTCCTTTCTCCTTTCAGTATCAATATTCATACTTACTAAAGACAAAAAGGAAGAAGTTTTCAGTGGCTGCTCTTCATGAAAAGGTTCTGCAAAGAGAATGGCTGGCTGGTAGCTCATTATCAGTGACAGATCAGAGTTGCTGTCTTATGAGGCCACAGCAGTCTCTGTTTCACTTCACTTCCTTGTTCCCTGCTTTTTATACTCTTCTTTTTCTCCACTAAATGAAAAGTCTTGCTGTCCCACTGAAGAGTTTAGGTAGAGATGGAATTGCATGAAAATAAGCAGATTTTCTCCTGCCCTGAGGCTAATCTTTACAGTAGCTTAGGAACTTCTGAATAAATTCTGGTTTGTATTCTTCTTCTGTGTTTCAAGTTGTACTAGAACACTACTCTAAGCAATTTCTAATTTAATTTAAATATTTCCAACTGTTTCACCAACCCCTTCAGAATTGTAATGTCTGTATTTGATGTGACTTCAGCAGTTCAGAGGGCAGTTTAAATGTGCTTCCCAATTACTCTGGGAAACTTTACAAGATGATAACAAGCATTACAAGATGGCAGTGCCTGTTCTTGGTGATGAAATGTCTTTGACTGGAGTTAAATAAGCAGAGGCAGCTTAAAAAGCTCATGTAATTAAGTTTAACTAAAAGGTGGTAACTTAATAAAGGAGAAAAATCTTTTCCATTTTTTTAACCCTTTGTACTGGGGAAAAATAAGCACTTAATCTTTAATAAAATAATTTAGGGAAATACTAAAAATATAAAGAGTAATCAAGTCATAAATTAAACCCATGTTTTGTTTATTTTTTCTTTTGCAGCTTGTATATGAGTTTTTCATACGATTTTTGGAAAGCCAAGAATTTCAGCCCAGCATTGCCAAAAAGTACATAGATCAGAAATTTGTATTGCAGGTAAGCTGGTGTGTTTTTTTTAAGGCTTAGTGCTGCTTTTGGGGAAAAAAAAGTCCTTTAAAAAGATTTAGTTTAGAATTTGAAAGTATAACTTCATTTGCAACAGAAGAAGGCTAAACCAGCGTCTACAATGAAAGTTTTCAATCTATGGAGGAAATGGAAAAAGGTGTGTGTGTTTATATGTCAGCTTGTTACTATAGATACATAAAATAGATGGTTTGGATCCAGTTTCAATACCTCAGTCAAAATATTTGACTTTCTGGTTTTGAGACAGAGCTGAAACAGTAACTGTTGTAAAATGAAAAGTTTCCCACCAAGTAGTCTCAGAATGCTGTTCTCTCTATCTAGAGACTACTTAAACACCAGTTTTAATGTGTCTTAGTATTGTTGATACTTTTGTTTTCTGGGTAAGCCAGGACACTCCACAGATACATTTTTTTGTCTTCAGATTTGAGAACAGGCCTGACTTGGGTTTTGTTTTCCCTTTGTGAGTTTTTGTGTAACTGCAAAGTCAGAAAGAACTTTGTGCTTGATGCTGTCTGTAGCTTGCTTGTGAAAATCAGGGGAATTTAGAAAGATTGCTATTTAGTTAGAAAATGGAGTTTCCTTGCAGGCTGTCACTTGAATGAAAAAGCAACTTGGAGTTGGCAGGAGAGACTCAGCATTTCTGAAGACCTTTCTCTTGTCCCTTATCACTCATGGCGCTTTTATTTTTCCCTGTACTGCTCAGGCAATAAAAGTTGTGCTTTTACTGTTCATTGTGTTGTCTGGATGAAGAATACCTGAAAAATGGAGTGAACAGAGCAATTTCTGTCCTTACATTCAAAGTTTCAAAGAAGATAATTCAGTTTTCTTCTTGATAGCACAAGACCTTCTTCATCCTACAAAGGCAATAGGATATACTTAAATTTTTCCTTTATCCTTCTCCTAAACACAATAGCATTTTTCATCTGGATCAAACCTCTGGTGGTTTCCTTTTTGTTCATCTCAGTACTGATTTAACAAGAAGATGCACCAATGTGTTCATCCAGTACCTGGTGGAGATAAAAGAACATGCATGACAAATCACTCCTGACAGGTTTTTTCTGGCTGGTTTTGGTTTGATTAGATAGAGCAGGATTGCATTAGGATGAATACATGTGCTCTCCTTCAATATCTAGTAAAAATAATTCTTAGATGCTCCTGTTCTGTGCTGCTGAACTTGGTCATGACTGGCAACATCCCACTCAACCCTTTTAAGACATTCAAAACTGTCAGTTTGGCACAGGAGAATGGGTCTAAACCAAGGATTTTAAATTCTTTTTACATCTTGCTAGTTTTCATTAAATCTATTAAATGGAAGAATATTTGCTACTGAAAGAGGGGAATATGAGATTTTAAAACCTACATATCAGAAAACATGGTATGACAATTAAGAAGGCAAAGAAGTTCTAAGGATTCCTATGTTCTTATGGGGTTTGGTGATGCACATTTTTATATTGCTGTGCACAGTGTCAATTTAAAATTGACATTTTTCTAGCAAAAGTTCTATTCAGACCTACATATACACACATATACACACTACATATAAATAGTTATATTTCCATGTGTGTAAATACTTTTTGGTGAGCTGTAGGAAATTGGGGTGTCCTTCCACTTCCTGTTGTGTTTGTTGTGTGTCAGGAGCAACTCCTGAGTACCTGCAGATCCCTTACACAGGACAGCAATTTGAGACTTAAGAACATGAAGCATTTTGGTGTCTTGTGACACTGACACCACAAATGGGACTTTTGGAGTATTTGGAATCAGCTTTTTCTCAAAATTAATTTTTTTTTTAATTTTAATGATGTGTTTCTTGGCAGTAAGGATGCCTGTATGAAAAAAAAAGGAAAATGTTCATTTTTAATGGACTTTTTTCAAACTTTTTGCTTATTTACTTGCTTTTTGCTTGCTTTTATTAAGTATAGCTGCATTTCTGGCTTTCAGCTGTATGTTTTAATAAAATACTGTATTTATCAGTGTAGCTGTTCATTTTTAAAGCCTGCTTATGTACAGTTTGAAATGGTTGGCAGTGGTTGCTAAGAGACATACTATTCAAATATATCCACAAGTCTCTGTTATGTAGGTTGCTATTTTGGAAAATTAATTTCCTTTTTCTATGTATGTTTAGAATAGCCAAAATAAATTATGGAAGTCTTGCTGCTAATTCATAAAAATAAGACTTTATTGTTGAAACCTGAAAACCAATTGGACATAGCAAAATAATAGTCTTATTATTATTTTTTTTTTTTAATGAGAGACTTAGTTTAGCAATGTTTCCAGAGAGGATCTGCATAAGAGAACTGGAAATATAAATACTTTTCAATCCAGTAAGAAAACAAAAACCATAAGTGCTTCCAGCTGTTTGCTGTCTTAGGCTGAGATGTTCTATTTGGGGAAGGATGAGGTGACTATTTATTTATTTAAATCCAGAACTAATTGAGGAGAGCAATGTGTTTATAACCTCTGGAGGGCAGCTGACAAACCTCATACTTCCCTCCTGAGATCCCCACCACTGCAAAGATGATACAGTGAGGTCTCACTTCAAGCTGCAGAAATGTTCCAAACAATGAGGAAGATATGTGTGCATCAGTCCTAGACCTGGATGTTAGAAAGCAAAATCCCAGACAGCCTAACAAATTTAAATCATATTTTTTCTTATCTTTTTCACCTCCTCAGAGTTATACAGTAGTTTAACAGAGATCAGGTGTAGCATGCATACACTGACATATCTACTTGCTGTAGGTATTTATAATTTATCTGTTTGTGAATCTAAGATAATTTTGTTTTCTGCCACTCCTGTAATGATTTTCTGACATTTGTAAGACCCATTTGTAAGACCTGTTTGACAATCTCTCTATTTCTCCTGCAAGACAAGTAGTCATTCAGTTACTTTTTTTCATGCAAGACAGATACTGGTTGCCATTGATTACTAAAAATTACCTAAAATTCCCTGGTTTCTGCACATTTGTGGCAGTTGGTTGTGCTTTTTGCTTTAATGTTTACCTCTGAATTTATTCCAAACATCCAGCAGAATACCCAGTGTTGTGGTGTTGCAAAAAAAAATGAGGATGGTGGCTAAGGGAAAGCTCATACTGTTGTGGCAGAGGATTCAAGGGGAATAAAAACAATATTTTGGTGATATTCCTGCTGCTCATTTCATGCAGCTTCAGGTGTCAGTGTTTGGGATACATTTTGTGCAGTACCAGACACTAAAACACCTTCTGAGTCTCGCATAACCAAGAACTACTTAGTAAATGTGGGTTTTCTAGTTTTTTTTCTTTATTCATTGTTTTGTTTTTTTTTAATTGTCATTGGTAATGAAATCACCATTTTGTTCAAAGTGAAGGATTAATTCCCTCTGATGCTGTTGATTTGTGGCAATTGGTGGAGATCCCATAGCAGCAGATCCAGTGCTGGCATGGACTTCCCTGTTGGGTCTTTCCACAGCATGAGGGCCTTGCAATCACTAGGAAGGCTTAAGAGCTCTTCATATGAATGACAGGCAATTAGAAAAATGTGACCTTGACACAACCTTGTGAGGACAAAGTGTTAGAGCAAATGAGGACCTTCTGGTTCTGCAGAGTCAGGGAATGGGGGATGTAAAAGGCAAACTGTCTTATCATATTTATTATTGGGATGAAGAAGGGCAGCAATCACAAATTTATTATTCTGAGTTTTATGATGCTATACTGAGGTTCCAGCAGGTTTTTTTAATATTGGATATCTACTGCTTAGGTACCATGGATGTCACATTCTTTGACTCGTGTGTTTTCATGAATTCCGTTTCCTACAGAAGTCTGTTGTGTCCTGCTTGTCAAATGTCTCCTGTTTCAGTTCTCTTTTTCCTTTAAACACAGCTGTTGGAGCTGTTTGACAGTGAAGACCCTCGGGAACGAGACTACCTAAAAACAGTCTTGCACAGAATTTATGGCAAGTTCCTGGGCCTTAGAGCATTTATCCGAAAACAGATAAATAATATTTTTCTACGGTAAGTTGTGGAAGAAGGAGCTTTTCACTTATGAACCCTTTAGGAAACTGATATATTGCTTATATTTAACTTTTCTTTTTTTAGATTTGTTTATGAAACTGAACACTTCAATGGCGTAGCTGAGCTGTTGGAAATTTTAGGAAGGTAAAGGAGTCTTTATTTATTATCTAACTCAGACTTCCCTTTGGACACGTCAGGGTAGTGTCAGATTTGGAAAAAGTATTATGATAATCCCTGACTCTGAAAACAGATGTGTGCACATGCTCATCTTTAAGCCCATGTGCAAATCTCTGTCACATCTTTGCCAAGAATATCTAAGTACAAGTTCCAGCCCAAGTGTTGGGTTGATTTTATGTGTGTGAGTCCATTAAACACTGCACGCTTCATCCTTACATGCTGGGGGATTATTTTCTTCTGAGCACACTTAGCAGAGGGGATGTTTTGAGTGAGTCTAATTTTGGTGGGTTAATTACTCAAGACCACCTTGCTCAGATGAATTTACAGACCACATAGACAAGGTCTTCTCTGTTTGGCAGCAGGTTTGTGCAGCTGTTTATGTGGTTATTCCTAATGGGAGCTGGATTGCTACCTGGATATGCAGTGCCCTGCTAATATAAACTAATACTGTTTATAAAAGCAGGGCCAAAAGCAGGACCAAAGTCAGCAGCTGTTTACAAGTGCTGTTTGTAAACAGCTGCTGACTGCTAAATATATTTTAATCTAGAAAGTGCTTATTCAGATCTCAGTATTGTTCTCTGTGATGATGACACTAACAAATATTTCTTTTCTCATTTCCAGTATTATCAATGGTTTTGCTTTACCTCTCAAGGCAGAGCATAAACAGTTTCTGGTGAAGGTGCTGATCCCTTTACACACAGTCAGGAGTTTATCACTCTTCCATGCACAGGTAGAAATTATGAAAGTATTTTCTTTACAGTAAGAATTATATGTATATTTTTAAAGGTTGTCTTGTAAATTTAATTACATGCACATAAAAAGGAGAGGGGAATTCTAAATGGACAAAAAATACAATTGATTTTTTTTAAAATTGATTCAGTATCTTTTGTATGAGAAGTATCTAGCTTCTGTTCTGATTAGGTAATTAAAAGCATAATATATATCTGTAATAGTTTGGAAATTTTATTTGGTAGTTAAGCTCTATCTCAAGGTTTTCCTCTCTGCTGTTTTCTCATTCTCACAAGTTTGCCTTTCCCATTCTCTCTCCTAAGAGGATGTTTGGGTTTCCTTAGTCTTGTCCTGTCAAGGCTCTTCTTCACCCTGGCAACCTTCTGAATACTCATACCCACATTTTTTCATTTAATATTCTCCCTCACAGATTGCTTAATACTGCCTTTATGCTCTCATACATCTTTTTATACCTTCAGTTTTCATGATGTAATTTTTCCTCTGATAGCTGCTACCTGTTGCCTTTCTCTTTCATTCTCAGATAGTGAAAATTTTCAGTATTTCTTTTGGTGACAAAGCTTTGCTTTCTAAATATGTTATTCCAGGTTTTAGCTGTGTCGACTCATCTTGCAAGAATTCTCATGACTTTGCTGTATAAAATTAGTAAAAAGTTGCACTTTAAGAGAGTAGCACAGGCTTCAAAACATTGCTTGTATGACTGCATTTAGATTCCCAAGTTATTCTGATTTTTGTTCTTTTATAGAACGTTGTTTCTTATGAACTTGTTTCTTATAAACTGAACTTTGAATGGATTTGCACAGTGCAAACTCTGCATCTCAGTCTAAAACTGGATGTAGTTTGAGAGAGCTGAATAGCATCTTGCCTCAAGTTTTTCTTTATAAAAAAGTTGGGGTTTTGTTGTTTCTTTATAGAAATGTTCTAATTTTGTTTTTGTAAATTGTCACCTCTTCCCAGCTGGCGTATTGCATAGTACAGTTTCTGGAGAAGGACCCCTCACTCACAGAACCAGTAAATATTTCTTTCATACTTTTTTTTTCACTATGAATGGTTTATCCTGTAGAGAGAAAAGCAAAAAGTCTAACTTCTTTTTCCTTCTAATTTAGGTCATTAGAGGCTTAATGAAATTCTGGCCAAAAACCTGCAGTCAGAAAGAGGTAAGAGATATGCTGATATTACAAAGAAAAAGAGTTACTTTGCTCTAAAACATAATAAGCAGGGATCTTTAATTCGTGGTTGATAGCACATGCTGTGGTGAATCTTGGTATTACTTCTTGTAGATGATTTTTCAATACTTTAATTCTAGTTTTTTAAACAGTTTTGACTGTGCAAAGTTTGATAAGTCTGGTTCCTATTCACAAAATAATTCCTGATTCTGCTGCAGAGAATATTTTAGAAAGGAGAAAATAAACATAGTTGAGGATAGGTTGGAAAACTCTGTTAGATTTGGAATTGTTTATATATGAAGACAGTATTTTTCCAGTGAGGATGAAAGATACTTTCTGTGGTGTTTACCTACTAAACATGTAAAAGATGCAGTTAAACACGTGCATTTTTGTTTCAGATGCAAATCAGAGTTTCCCTAGTGAGGTTTTGTGAAACAGCAAAACTGTTATTTTCAATGTTGCTCTCAAAAATGAGGTAAAATGATGAGAATCCCCTTAGTTACTGAAGTTTGAGCCTTTGTTCAGATCTTTGTGTGAGACAAGGTTTTCAGCATGGATGTTTATACTGGTGCAATTCTGAATTTCATTCAAAATACTTTAAATGCAGCACTTGAAGAAGAAACTTGTCCTTGTTTTAAGGGACTGAGTCCAAAAAAAAGCTGCCAGTGGTAGAACTGATGACATTTTTTGAGAGAGGGTCTCACTGAGCTGAGTGAAGTTTCCATTTCTTGCTGAAGCAGTAGAATTTGGAGGTTACCAGCATTCTGCAGAACAAGATGATTTGGAGGTTTTGTATTCAAAGCTTTCTTTTTTGTCTTTAGGTCATGTTCCTAGGAGAGCTGGAGGAAATCTTGGATGTAATTGAACCATCACAATTTGTCAAAATCCAGGAACCCTTGTTTAAACAAATTGCCAAGTGTGTCTCTAGCCCTCATTTTCAGGTCAGTGTTAAAGGTTATTGTTTATATAGGAATGTACAGTCTCAGTTTCAAACATAACTGCCCCCCAAATGTAAATATTATTCTATGTTATGTTTTTAAGTACTTGTCCTCTGTGGAAGAGGATTATGTTGGGGTGGAAGGTTAGGTCTGAGCTCCATTAATAACTTGTTAGAGGTGTTTGGGGTTACAGCTCAGAGCTTGTCCTTCTGAGCCCCTCACAAATCCTTAACCTGTGTCCAAGCAGGCTTTGAGCCCTCTCACTGAGGGTGGCAGGTGCTGGCCCCATAGACCCTGGAGGATGGATTTGCTCCCTGGTTTTGGTGCAGTTCCTGTTTTCTGGCTTGATTCCTTCTAACCATGTACCCATGTGTCTGGTTAGAGGTGACACAAACTGTGTAGCCTGTTCTAATCACATTGTGTAATGGGAGGAAGGGGAATGCATGGGCTGTAAATGGATATGTGAAGAGGATATAGAGTTCATGGCCTGTAGTGTCTCCATATTAAGCCTGGTGATCTGTCCTGGCACAAAGACAGATGTGACTTTTCAGCTCTTCCTTGGACTTCATCCTTTTTAAAATCATAATTCAGATCAGCATCCTCCTTCCTACCCCCAGCTTCTCTCCAGGGTAATTACTGTCCTTGGTACCTTCCCCACACTGAAGATTTCTCCTCCCTTACCCACCCCAGCTCCTGCCTGGGCCTTTCCCTGTCTCCTTTCCCTGGTATCCCAGCACTGCTGGCTTTTTTCCAACTGCACTCTTCCTGATTTTGAGGGAAAGGGTGATGGGAAGTCTGTCTGCTCTTCCTTTCCCTCCTCAACTGATGCTGTGTCTGCACCCAGTCTTCAGTCAGCAATAACACATTGCTCAGGAAATAGAGAGTGGGTGCTGTGGGATCAGAACTACAGGATAGAAATTAATTCCATTAATGCATGTTATGCTACTGATCATAGTAGTTTAATTCCAAAACTAATGACTCCTGGTAGCTCATCTTTGTAGAGTTTCTCTGTGATTTGTTTTTCTGTCAGAAAATCACAAAATTACAGCTATCTGAATTCCTGTTCCTGTTTTATTTCTTTGACTCAAAGGTGGCTGAAAGAGCGCTGTATTATTGGAATAATGAATACATCATGAGTTTGATAGAGGAGAACTCAAATGTTATACTTCCCATCATGTTTTCCAGCCTTTACAGGATTTCTAAAGAGCACTGGAATCCGTAAGTTTGTGCATTTACACTTTATCTTTCAGCATTTGACATCCCACTGATAAACTCAGGGAATGTATTGCAGAACATCTGAATGGGAGAGATGCACACTCAGAGCTGCTCTGAGCAAGTGCAGCTCTGTTAATGACAAAATGTATTAGTCTGCACTTGAGCTTGTCTCAGTGTTTTTAATTAACTGGTATGTGTACAAAAATCACTACTTTGTAGGATAAAAATAGGCCTTCTCACAAGATGGAAAAAAAGAAGAAATTAAATGTTACATTGTTATTGAAGGAAAAATGTTGCTCATCAAGTGTTTCTCCTACGCAGTTTTTTTATAAACGGGTTGGCTCTTAAGCCTGATTCTAAATTGTCTAGAAGAATATCTGTTGGCATTAATAAAGCTTTGTGGCTGTATCATCATCAGATACCTCTGGGAGACTTTTGGTGTTGGCATTTTTTAAACATCCATGAAACAGACAGTATATTCTTAGGTTGGGTTGTTTTTTCTAAATTTATTTAAATACAACTGTTTTCTATGACAATAATTAAGCAGTTACTTAGCATTGATATTGTGATAATTAGGCAATTTTATTTTAAACTGAATGGCCTAGTAAAAAGTGTTTTTATGAAAAATTGTATTGTAGGAAGATGACATACCATACATCCTTTATTTTAGTTGGAAAGTTTTTCTAAGTCAAGATGATTAGCATTTAGTAACGCCAGTATTTTTAATGAGCTGTGCTATGTTCAGGTCCCAGTTGCTTTGAGACCTTACTGTAAAATGTTTTATCTTTTCAAACACTGGTCTTTTTGTTCTGTTCTAGTCAAACTCTCAGGGTTGTGTGTTTACATGACAAATCTAATGCTGCTGGAAAGCCTCTGTAGCTTAACACTGGTCACAAAAAGACACTTTCCAGTCTCCAACCTTTTAATACTATGCACTGAGATGCTTCTGGTAATGAGAATATTCCAGTATCCCAATTCAGACTTTCCATACCCATAGTAATTTTGTTACACGAGCCAGGTAATGACACATCTAAAATAAAGGAGCTATTTAAAGAATTTTTATATTTATAAGAAAAATTTTCATGCAGGAAACAAAAATGAAAGTTTATTTAAAGAGATGAGAGACAGGGGTGCGTGGGAAATGGCACATGGTTTGTGTGTCCTGTAAGGATTAGCTCCAAAGGCTCCTGGCACTTGTGCTGTTGATTCACTGCCTCCTGGCTGAGGAGCTGCTTCTTAAGCAGCCCTGGGTCTGAATATGACAGCCAGAGTAGTGGATCAGGAACTGTGAAAGGGAAAATGAATAAGAACTGCATGAGCACAAGGAAATCACTCTTGAAATACAGCTTTGTATTTTGCATAGATGGAGTGAATATTCAGCTTCATAGAAGAGTCATAAGGAAATAAGAATCACTTTCATTTTGTGTTTGAATTCTATTCCTTGTGCCAGCACTGATGATTTGAATCTCTGTAGTTGCATTCAGAATTGCTCCACAGCATGAGGGAAGAGACTGTAGTTATGTGTAATAGCTTTCTGTTGTTGCCTTTCACCCTGGAGTTTTGGCCTGCTCCATTTCAGTAGTCAGTAGGGACGTGAAAGCCGATTCTCACCTTTAAGTATGTTAATCCAAAGTAGTTTCAGTGCAATCGAAGAATTTACATAACCATGCTTGCAGGAACAGAATCGGTCACAGAAAGGCTGCGAAGAGAAGACACTTTTTATTTCACCTTTGATTTCACCTGAAACTAATGGATCTCTTTCTTTCTTCTCTTTCCATGTTTCACAGGGCTATTGTGGCTTTAGTCTACAATGTGTTGAAGGCATTTATGGAAATGAACAGCACCATGTTTGACGAGCTGACAGCCACTTACAAGTCAGATCGTCAGCGGTAACTTTTTAAAGCTTTTTTTTGTCAGCTGTGCACATGGCCTGCAGTTTAGTTCTCCCCTTACACTCAGGTGCAGTTGCAGAATTTCAGACATGATTAACACTGCCCCATTTTTGCCCTTGCCTGCTTGTTGGGCTTCTCATTGCAGGATGTGAGATTGTGTGCAGGTTGTTCTTTAGGCCTTATTAAATACAGTATCCACTGCATGGCTTGGGAATCCACATTCCTGGTGCAATTCCTTTTTGACTTCATATTCCAAAACACTTAAGTATATCAAGATCTTCAATAATAAAAGGAAAACAAGCGTTGAAAGGTAACACTTTGCTTAAAGACTTAAAAAAAAAAGTTACACTGTGGTTTGGAAAGAGACATGAAGGAAACCCTTAAGATTTGATTTTCCAAGCTGCTGTTTGTTGGCTCTTAAAGCAAAGAGACATCTCTCAGCCTTTTTGTTTCTTATTCAGAGGTCCTGCTGTATCTGAGTCTTTCAGCATGCAGTATCCATTAAATACACCACTCATAGAGGCATTAGTTCAGCTCCAGTGCCTTCCTGTCTTTTCTCCCATTTTCTCTAATCTTTATTTCTCCATTACAGTGCAGCATCTTTTCTCAAAAGTTTCACCTCATGCAAAGATTAGGTGAAAAAAATGAGCAAATTTCAGGAGCTTTGAACAGGTTGCAGCTTCATTTCAGCCATACTTTGGCTGTGACTCAGGGTTCCCCCAAACAACACAAAGGGCACTGCACGTCAGCAGAGGTTTTTAGGGTAGTCCAACCTTGAAAGTCTCTTGGCTGCTGTAGTTTTTTGGCTTGTGTGACTGGAGTCACTGGCCTTTCATTCCTCTTTGTTTTATAGCCCCAAAAATGTGCACATAACAGGCTAGTTCATTAATAGGGTATTTTACTTGTAGAGATTTATTTAGAGATAGATTTGAGCTAAGAAGCCAGATATTCTTGATATGTATTGATAAATAAGTGCCAATCACGTAGTGCGGTTGAGATAAATTGTGGTTTCCCTGCAAAAAGGCAGAGAGTTTTAGGACTGATCATCTAGTCCAGATGTTCACTGAGGCAGCTTGGTGACCTGAATCCATTTGTGGTTGCACTTTGCCCCTTAAGATGAGAAATTCTGCTCTGAACAGCACCAGACACTGCAGTGGTGTGTCCCATGTCTGGATAATGGAGGAGCTTTAGTGGCTGAACTGCACAAAGAATTTCTTTTGCACCTGCTGACGTTGTACTTCTTAGCAAGGCGGGTGCTAACCATGTCACCATTTTTATTTGCTTCTTAGAATTTTAAAAGCTGAATGTATAAACCAGGATATTTACCTTAAGGTTTTCAGAAAATCTTCAGCATCTCAATAAAACCACATTTTAGGAGGGTAGCTTTGATACCACTTAAAGCTTGAGGAGAAATATGTTCAATATTAATGGCTGGGATAGGTCAAATAGGTGAGTTGGATGAGGTGATTATCCTCTAACAGACCTTTAGGTAAGCAGGCATGTATTTCCTAATGATTAGAAGATAAATATTGGTAAGTAGCCTGAAAATATAAGGCTATTTCACTTGTTCTTATATTTAAGTTTAAATACTCTCCAGTAACAATAAGGCTCTTTTTTTTTTCTTTACTGTTCTTCAGAGATTTATCTGAAAGCTGTTTGTATTTTTATTATATGTTTAAAATCCTCTTGGGAAATCAGAATTCCCAACAAATGAGCCAGATGTTGCTATGTTGAGTGAATCAAAGTGTGTAGGAATGTTTCTAATCCCTTGAAATACTTCTCAAAACTTCTCTAATGTGACTGGCAGAGAATCTGTGTATCTGTCATTGTTGGATTTCCATTTCATCTAAACCTGCAAGGTGATGTCATAGAACTTGAGAGCATTTTGTGCCTTGCAGTCTCAAGGAGATTTATTCACAGTAAGCTGAGGCAGAGACAGGAAATTTAGAAAGCAAACAATGCAGGTAAAGTAAATGTTAGGTTTGCTGTTTAATTTTCTCAAATCAGCCACTAAAGTCTGTTTTTAAAGCAAATGCTACACAGATCCTGCAGGAATTTGGTGTGGAAAAAGAGTAACTCACTGCACAAAAGACACATCTTGTAGGTTGAACTTTGCCTTGGCTGGTGCCTAAGCTATAGGGAAGCCAGCAGTCATGTAAGTAAAAATAGTGATTCTAAAAGAATCAAGGAATGCTTTCTAGAAGGTTGCTGTGATTTACAAGATTATTTATATCTTAAATAAATAAACCTGAAAATAATTACCTTAGTCCAAAATGTTAATTTTTATAATTTTGACAGATTAGTTCTGTAGTAAAAGTCCACTGCATTTTTTAATTTCTTACTGCAAATTAGTGTCTATGAACACTGTCACTTTGCTCAGCTTACATTTTATGCTCTTCCCTTACTGCTTTGTTTAGTTAAATTTATGTAGGTAACAAAAAGAAAATACCAAAAAAGAAGTTAAATACATGTTAGGAAAATTGCAGTTGTGTTTAAGAAAATCAGTGCAGCTCTTTAATGTCAACTATATATTTTTTAACATATTTATCTCCAGTCTTCTTTCCTGCTAACTCTTTGTTTTATTTCATCTGTCAGTGAGAAGAAGAAAGAGAAAGAGCGTGAAGAACTGTGGAAAAAACTGGAGGATTTGGAATTAAAGAGAGGTCTTAGACGTGATGGAATAATTCCAACTTAACAAAAATACAAAACAGCATTATTAACCTGTGGAGTCACACATTTATGTAGTAGAAGATGGAGCAACAGTTTTCTGTATTGTGCAACTTTACAGTAGATTTCACATTTGTTTCATTATTACAACAGCACTGTATATACCTGTCTCTAAGTAAAGGAAAAAAATAAGGACTTTAATCCAAAGTTTGGACAACAGATGGACTTCTCAGAACTTTGCAAACATAATCATTGTTTTAACCCTTCTTTAAAACCAGTCTTCAAAGATCTGTTGATGAAAATTGCAATGTCAGATTCCATTGTCAGGACCTGTTCCTTATTTATCGTTAGCAGAGAGTATAATACAACTTTCAAATGTGAACAATCTTAAAATTTAGCTTGTCTTTCTGCTAAACTGTTACGTGTATTTATAGTAAAAGAGAAAAAAAGACTGTCATTTCCTTATGAGTTTGTGTAACATCCTCCTTCTCTGGATAACTTTACTGTAATTTGACTTTCTTTTCCTTTTGCATATCTTCATAAGTTGAATGTCCATTCAGATCAGGGCCATAAAAAACATTGGTCCTGAATAAAAGTTTTGTTTACTGGTGTGAGCATTTTTTTAGTACCAGGCTGTCTCTGGTGCTTCCTTAATTTGAACATTAGGAATTAAAAAAACGAGTAGGTGATAAACATAGTAGGAACGGGAGCTTTGGATTCGTGCACCTATTTATTGCAAATCCAAATTAGTGTCCACAATCCATGGAAAAAAAAAAAAAGGGCAGTGGTAACACCCTGGACTTCAGTACCTAACCAGTATTAGTGATGCAGCATTGGAAACATGAACCAGACTTGGTTTAGAAACACCAATTGCTAAATTATTACAGTATGTTCTTATTGGACCATTCTGAAAGAATAAACAACACAAGCATGAAATTGATCTCCAGTGGTCATGGATCTAATTGGAAATTGAGTTGAGATAGCAGTTTGGACAGTTTGGAGTTGTTGCCTTACTTTTTAATATGTATTTATAAAGTGTTCCAGCAAAAGAGGATGTAGCCTCTAAGAAACATACTCTAGTGTTTTTGTGGTTCTAGTACTATTACTCATCACAGTACCAGCCCTATGGTCTTAGCTGGAAAGGATTCTGGATAATACACTTCTGCATTCTCATCTGGATGCTCATTCCTAACTACTGTATTTGTTACCAAAAGTGGTTCTACAAATGCTACTGAAAAAAAAAAATTCTGGAAATCCTAATGTTCTGAGTATTAATAATAAAGTTTAAAATGCTTTTATATCAAAGGTGCATTGTGACCAAATTGTTTAAAACAAAAGAGGAAAAAAAAAAAACAAAAACAAAGAAGAGGGCTGTATTATAAGTATACATTATTGGCTATCTGCTTTGTATTTGAAAGTGGAATCTTACATCTTTGGTAGGTAAAATGCTGATAAGACTTCTGTACAGTATATATTTAGCTAATGCAGTTGCATTATTCTATACCGGAAGGTATGTGTTTCAGGATTTTTCTCCAGGATGCTTTTGAACTGTTATAGACATATGACAACAGTGAATTGATAATCCTAAACCATCAATCCAGCAGTATTTACATTATAAAAATGAATTGGTGTTCATGAGTCTTTGTGATAGTTGCAAACATGAATTTATGACCTGTTGCCATTGATAGAAATACAGTATAAATACAAGCTTGTATATTTTTCTTCCTACCATTTAAATATACCAGTAGGATTTGAAGTTTTCTTGTTTTCAGGCACGGAAAAAAAAAAAGTAAAAAAGAATTCCCTCCTAGACTACTGACTGTTTCAGGATTATCAGGTCACAGTTTGTACTCCTGGGTCTGCACACACAAATGTTGTAAACTCAAGGCTTTGTAAGAACTTGACACTGTTAATTCTGGAAAGAAAAAAAAAAGTGGAACTAGTCATATGCAACACCAAACACAACAAGATTTAATGGGATTACTATGAGCTTCTTTTAAGAACATTGACTGGGACTCAATGTAAATTAGGCAGTTACTGTCATAGTTGAAACATTTTATTTTAAAGTGCTGAAGCAAAGGTGCAAGCTGAAATACTGAAGATTAAATAAATTTATAACAAATCATGTCCCTTAGCCCATTGATTTTGACAGTCTTTTATTTCTGTTACCAAGAAAACAAACTTGCTAGTGTGATTTCTGTGTGAAATGATCATTTCACAGTACAAGAGGGTGGACTCAAACTCATGCTCAAAGACTATGTTCCATTGTGAAAAACTGAGAAAGAATGGAGGAATAAAACTTGATGTTCTTCACCTGGTGGAGTAAAACACAACAGTGTGAAATTAGAAAAAGCACCTTGTCCTGTACTTAGAGTTTAGGTGAGTGTTGTTTGTTCATGACTATTTTTGGTTTTGCCATGTCATTCTACTCTTGATCATACAAAACTGACCAGACCCTGGTGGGTTGCAATATTTCGTGGCCTGTGCCGCGGGGACAGCGGGGAGTGTCTGCCGTTCCTAGATGATTTATCACTTCTGAGAAGGAATGTTCCTTCAAGGAGAAGGAGGTGATGTGCTGTTGTATGAAGTCACTTGACTCTAAAGGCTGAGTGAAGCGCCTGAAGAAGCGCCTGCAGCCAGGACCCCGCGCGTGCCGCAGCCCCAGCGCCGTGCCCGGCCCCGCAGGGCTGGAGCTGCGGCAGGAGGAAGAGGAAGGCAGCCTGAGTGTGATCAGTGCATCATAAATTACACTTCTGTTTGTTTGCTTCCTGAGTTCCACAAGCCACCTTGGTTGGTGTCAGTGTTGTTGTTGACTGCTCGTGCGGCAGCGTTGGGTGGTCCTGCGTGTCCTGGGCCACATTGGTCTCAGGGGGAAGGGTTGGGCACTGCTGCTCACAGGAAGGAGCTGCGAGGGCATTGGGGCATGGGGATGTAACAACTGTGCAAGTAAAGTTCCTCTCATACACTCTGAATTGACCACATGTTGCTTTCTTCATCTTGCACGTCTCCCGTACTGTTTTCCTTTCGTTGCTTTTGAGTGTTTTTTGTCTCCCTTCCAAAGGTTGGAATGCTTTAAATAAAGGTATTCTAATGCCATTGGAGCGTTTTGCTAGCAGGGTTATAGTAAATTTAATCTTGATTTTGTTAGCATAAGTAAAAAGGTTTAATTTATTTTTTTAATCTGTTCTCATATATGGAAAAATCGAGGGTGTTGGAGCCAAGAATTGCTTGAGTAAGAAATGCAGCAGCTGTACTTGCATTATACGTGTGTAAGTGCAGCCTTAGGCTCTCTCACTTGATGGAAAAGAAAATATATTAGGAGCTCTAAAAAGCTCTTTATTGTTTTGTGAGGAGTGGGAAGGATGAGATTCTTCTCCCTCCAAGTAAAACTGACATAATTTCCTTTTAGTTCTGTCTTTGAAAACAAAGATGCCCTTTTCTCTTAATTGTGTGACACCACTATCCCAAAGCAGTTGCCCTTAAAACAAGAGTGATGATGCTAAAGTTCGAAGAATGTTTTTATTTACTTACAGCTTTTTTAATTTGGCTCCTGTGCTTCCCTTAGCAGCTCTGAAGTGAGCCATGAATTAGTTCTTCCTAGTTGGTATGTGCAGCAGATTTTATGTAGCCCAGTTTTCCATTTTGAACTCTATGAAACAACATCTTGAAAGAGAATGGAACTACTTTTGGTAGAAAACTTTTATCCAAGTGTTGCTTCCCATCCACAGAAGCGTGTGCTTTTTATCACAACCTCTCTGAGTAAGAGTTTTTGTTACTTGGATCACCTGCTGTAAATATGTTGTATTCATAACCTCATGGAGCCATGAGGAGTTTTCAAATATAAATAGTACCAATACATTTCTTGTTGTTGTCCTATTTTTGATTGTAGTATAGCGAATGACCTGTCATGCTTTTTGTTTCAAGGTTAGCATTAGATTCATAGATCTTAATATTTTAGCATTTCATTGTTTAAGCAGGAGAGGGCAGCAAAAGTTCATTTTTCCCCATAGGAATGCTCTGGTCCCATTATTGTTTTTAAACTTAGGTGCATCTAACTATCTGTGAGTAGGGGGGAAAAATGAAACTTTTTTATATATATTAAAAGGTGCATATGAAAATATATAGACTGGTCCAACCAGACTGTGAAAATGTCTTCTACTCTACATCCAAGTAATAATAATAAAAATATCTTCCACCTCTGGATAAAGTACAAGCAGGTCTTAAACTCTTGGATTCAAATGTCATTCTTTGGAAACAGTTTACTTTCTTAAAAGTGGTATCAAAGAAACTCAAACTCAATGGTGCTCCCAGCTATAAATGTGTTATCTTCCTCTTTTGCACATGCTCAAGAGGCTCTGTACTGTGGGTGCATCTAAATAAAGAAGCAATGAAGTGTTTTCCAGGTGCTTGGCTTTTTTTTCCACCTCCTCCCATCTAAACTTCATGAGCCTTTTCAGCAGTGAACTTGGAGCAGTCAGGTGCCCATCTGCATGTATCAAATGTAAGGAATCTTGTCTGGAAAAACAAAAAATGAAGAAATGAGGTGGTAATTTTAAATTTCAGCCAGGATTACCATAGCAAACACTACGTTTTCATTAAGTTAATTTTTTTTCAGAGGGCCTCTGATGATGATGAGTATCCTTGTACCTCCCACAACCCCTCTGTGAGGGAGGTCAGGATGCAGGGAAGAGGCATTAAAGCCACACAGAGTTCTTTGGGAACCCTCTGAGCCTTCCCCTGTGCATCTGGTGAAGGGATTTGTTCCTTTCTGGCAGCATTCCAGTGTTTCAGTGCTCGTGCTGCTCTGCCTTGCAGTTTGGAGGTGAAGGGAAAGGCTGGAGGTCATCAGGGGAAACCTCTGGAGAGAGCCTGGAAAGGGGCACTGCAGGTGGATGGCTTTAGCAGCACTGTAGGAGAGCTGGTTGCTTCCATAAAATGAGAAATATTTATTAAACATCTGATTTTTAAATACCATGTTTTTAACATTATTTGTTCCAATAGTCTAATCCTTAATTCTTTCCAATTTTTTTTCCAACTTGAATTTTAATCAGTTGGATCTTGCCTGTCTTTGTTAGAAGAGCTCATTATCACAAATCTCTTTAAATACTTGTAAGACAATATTCAGAGCAATTCAGCTTAACAACTCCATGTCTCTCTACTTTCTTATTGCAAGGCAAGTATTTTCTAAAGAAGTTAAAAAAATAAAGAGAACATGCACTAAGTTGGCCTCCAGGGTAGGATTTGTCTTCTTACTTGCAAGTTAGAAATCAACCTTTACAGGATTGGAATTAAAAACTTAAATTAGTTTCCTACTTTCAGTAATGATAATTGCTTTGCTAATTTTTCATCTTGGTCTTTCCTTCTCAGGGATGTTTTGGTTTCTCCTGCAGCAGCAGAATGTCTGGTTTATCTTACATTAAGTTTGGACCTCAGATCACAGGTGTGTAGCCTACAGAAGTAGATTTGTGTGCAGGTACAGGCTGGTCCCAAGGCTGCATTAATTAGTGCCTCAGTACTCTGAAGGAATAGCTTGGGATTTAAACTGGACACTGATACAAAGTCTCAAATTATGATCTGTGATTTTAAAGATGGAGCTGAAGCTAAATCAAATACCCTGAATTTGTTAGTAAATACCTTGAAAGCAAATGTACCAACCCACTGTGAGCAGTGACCACAGGCTCTTCTGGGAGCTTCCATGACATGAAAATAGGTAATACAAAAACTTTATTTTGCAATATTTTAATGTTTGTTTGTTTTTGTTTCTCCCCTGTCCATCTTGTCTATTCAGTATTACCATCCCTCCTTCAGTCAGTGAAGGTGTGAGAAGCTGGAGGTCACTCAGGAAGGCTGGAAAGCTTGAGATGCATTTAAAGAAATGTCTGGTTTTTATTCAGTGGTTCATTCTTCCATACACACTGAAAGTGTCTGGGAACTTGGCATTATCCCTGCATCTGGGAAGGGCTTCCAAAAAGAGAATGAGAAAGGAATATTCTACACACCAGCTGAAATATTCTATCCACCACCTGAATCTTGTCAAAATCCTTACTTTGCAAGCTTTTCCTCGTGTCAGAAGCCTGTGCACTTCCCTGGCAGAGGCAGCAGTGTCCCAGCAGTGGATATTCCTGGAGCCCCAGCCACAGCAGGAGCACCCTGGGGCAGAGTGGCTCTGACAGCCAGGGAGGAAAGACCTTGTGTTTGCACAGGGATTTGTGCAGCCCTCAGTAAAGGCAGAGGGTACCTGCAAACCTTTGTGAACTGAGCAGGCTCGAGTCAGGTTTGAATCTTTGCCTTTTGAACCTTCAGCACATGTGAGCAAACTGGACAACTGATTCAGTTTTAGGTTTTTATATTATTTCTGCAAAGTGTGCTCAGTGGGGTTACAGCTTATGCTCATCCCAAAGGCTGTGCAGCAACTCCCCTGCTTTTTAGGATATTTGGCAATGTTTATGATGTGCATGAGTGGAAAATCACTGTATATTCATTTAACTGTCTCCAACCAACATGGGAATCTGCATTACATAATCTTCCATTTCAGGCATCTTGGAGGCACCAGGCTGAAATCTGCAGGTGCCAGATCTTGGAGTAAACTGCAACTTGGCAAAGGGCACTCTTGATTTCTGGAGGAAGGAAATGTGGAACTCAGACAGTGGTAATTAGTTTGTTAGCCCACAGACTATTTCACAAGCACAAGGGGATATTATTGCTGTTTGCTCTCCATGACACTCATCAGACAATAATTGTCACGGTCAGTGGTTATGCACATTTCAAACATCAGCTCTGGCCAGACAAAAATGACTCAGGAATACAAAGAAAATAATATTTCCAACTGCAGTGTGGTGCCCCCAGCCCCCCTTTCTCCTGTGCTGCACCAGGTTCTGCAAACACAAGTGTAAGGAGTTGTATTGGGCTGAATTCAAGCAAAATGTGCTGTTCTAGTTGAGATTGTCATAAGAGGAACATAACTACAGACCAGGGGGCACTTCAGCCTTTTCCAAACAAATGCCTTTAAGTGGTCAGCTAAAGAAATGGGACCTCATTTTAGAGGCCCTTCCACCAGATCAGATTGTTCTAAGCCCCATCCAATCTGGCTTGAACACTCCCAGGGATGGGGCAGCCACAACAGCT